TTCCAGTGAAAATTAATTTATTCGTTTTTCTTCTGTCAGAAGGATGTAAAAGGTCGACCGAAAGATATATCTGGCGAAGTTTCAAAGACGCATGATACGATACAGTAAGCCCCTTGTCTTGAAGTACGTTATATTTCAGTTTAAATATTGATAAATTTTTCAAAGTCATGGCCATAAAAAATACAGGACTCTCGATAAGACTATTTTGAATTTGGAGATGAAATTAGCCGCAGCCAGGGCTGTGCAAGATTCCTTACTTAGCGGTGCCCCCATATCTGAAGACATCAAGATTCCAGAATTGATCAAAAAAAGAAAATATTTGATGGTAATAGGTATAAACACCGCTTTTAACAGCCGGAAGAGGAGAGACTCTGTCCGTGCTACTTGGATGCCACAAGGTGTGTCTCACTTTAGTATGCCTGTCCCCTCCAGGAATATTTTTCTCTGCTTACTGTAATGAATATTCTTATTTGTTGGACTAAGCAGGTGATAAACGCAAAAAGCTCGAGGAAGAAAAGGGCATTATAATTCGCTTCGTGATTGGACACAGGTGGGATGCAGATATTTGGAATTCACGTTAACTGTTGCTTTTTATATATGGTGCTTTCCCTTCTAATATTTGTTAACCATGTCATTTGCACGCTATAATTTTATATATATGTTGATTGTCAGTTGACTGAGATACTTCGTTTGTGGCTTTGTGCAACTCCACAACCTAAAATATATGTCTAACATATGTATTGGTTGGTATTTGTACCTTTTCTTTTCTTCATGTTGTTTTTTGGGAACCGATTCTACTTCTAGATGGATTGGATACATAGATCACATTGTTATAATAGAATTGAATTACCTCAGGAGCTTAGAAGAGTATTTTAACTTGTGCAAACTTTTATTTCACAGCATTTGATCATAATGAACTTTCATTAGAATTTTCTTTAGGGTCATACACGCTCATTTTAATATAATGACAGCGTAACGAGGAACAGTATCTAATTTCCCTTCCCTTTCATACTTTAACCTCTGGTCAACAGTGCAACATCAGGTGGCATTCTTGATAGAGCTATTGAAGCAGAAGATAGGAAACATGGTGACTTTTTGAGACTGGTATTGTCATGACTTCTGGTTTCACTTGCCTTTTTTTT